AAGCGAAGTTTTGGCGGGCGGGGAGCACTTAGCAGGAAACTGACTCATCACAACTCACTGCCGCTGTCCAAGGCCTTGCCCACGCATCTCTTACCGGCGCGTGATTTCCTGGAGACCGGCGCCCCCTTCCGGCCCCTGCGCGAATAGCACACACTCCTTCCCGCGGAAGGCCGCTTAGCCCGCCTTTCTTCCCGCCGCTACTCCTGGGCTTATTCCAGGTCGCTCATCGCCCCCCACCCCCAACCGACGACCCCTCAAAAGACTCCCATTGGTTCAACAATGTTTACTGGGTGCTTACTATTTACTTGAGAATTAAATTTGGTTAAAGTCTAAAACACGGAGGCCAACGAAGAAAGCTATTCTCAGTTACTTGTTTGTAAAACGAGGGTTTGCGTTTGTGAGTTTCCTCTGAGCTGGTAGTTAAGATAATGGGCAACGGAGCAGTTTTGATGGGGACCCTATAAGAGACATAAGGGAAGGGGTGGTAGATAGAAGGTTCCTGCCTGGATTCTGGTCCCATCTTCAGCTCCTGGAAGCCAAAGAATATCCAACTTCCTGATAAAGCCCTAGGTGAGCCCCTTCTCATACCAATGAGGCACCGAGACCCAGACTGTCTATTTCAGCATCTTCCCAAGACTGCCCATCTGGGAACTGCCAAACATTTGCTTAAATCCCCTTCAATTTGAATTAACGTGGTCTGAGGAGGGAGGGTCTTATCAATCTCTATTTTGAAAAAGGTCCCCAACTGATTCTGATGGCCCTCTCTGGTTAAGAAATTTCAAAATTAGGGAGTAGGGTTCAACACCAGAGCACAGAACCCAAGGCAAATAGGCCTGGGTTCAAATCTGGATGTGCTACTTGTGAGATATGTGACCTTGGGTAAGTTACTTTTCTGAGACTTGGTTACCTCTTCTGTAAAAAAGAGATAATATACCCACTTTTGGGAGAAATTAATATCCATAAATTTCTTAGCTCCTGGCACATAAAAGTATATAAATTAATCCAAATCCTTGCCTTAAAGAGAGTGGGCAGAGGTTATTGAGGGCTCTGCACTCTGTAACCCCTCTATGGGGCAGTGGCCCTTGAGCTTTTTATCTGCACGGTTTTGGGGACAAGTATCATATCTCTTGGAACTCCTACCCTTTAAACTTGGTCTGAGATCACCAATGCCCCCCACGCCCGCCCCCATCAGCTGAGATGTGGGCTGCACTTATTGTGAGAGGTGGAGTAAGGAGCGGTAGGTGTGGCGTGGGTCCAGGGCTTTCTGTCCCAAGGGGTCCCTCAGCAGAACTTTCACCCTCAGAGTCTGCAAATCAGGACTTGTCCCCAGGAAAACCCAGTCCCTGCCAAGGTCGTGCAACTGCTCAGCCGTGGAGTCAGGCCAGAGCAGGGCAAATGGGTGCCAGCACTCCCTCATGGGCAAACACCCTTGGCTTCCCTCTCCTGAAGTGGGAGGAGAGGAACAGGGTAGACCAGCCACCATTAATTTTCTTTGCCTGCAAAACAGGTTTTTTGGATGTAGGCAACATAGGGCAGGGGTTTCAAGGCTGTCTAGACTTCAGATCACCTGATGGGCCTGGCAGGATGTGGCTCAGCCTGGGAGAAATCATCACTGCCCTGCCCTGCCCAGCTCCTCCTCAGCCCCAGGCTGCCCACCTGATGACATCCTTGGGAAAGGTGCTCAGCCTACAGCACCTGTCAGCTGCTGTTCAAAGGAGGTGGTGGCCTGGGGGGAGGCTCAGCTAGAACTGAAGGCAGAGAGAAATAATAATACTTCTGTTTTCCAAACATTTCTGTATACCAGGTATTGCTCTATGCATGTAACCTACATCAACTCAGTTAATCCTCTGTTCTCTGAGACATTCACTATTATTGTCTCCATTTTATGGATGAGAACAGTAGAGTCCAGAGAAGTTAAGCCACTTATCCAGGGTCAACCAGCAGAGCCGGGATTCTAACCCAGGCAGTCCCGCTCTAGAACTCTTGCTCTTAGCCGCAAGATACAGCCTTTCCGCTCTGTTTCATCTGCCTTGCCTAGAGGGACACCCTGACCAATTGTTTGAACGTGTTTCCACAGCGATGCTCTTGAAGCTTTCATAAAGTTCCATTTTATAGTTAAGAAAACTGAGGCCCAGAGACATTAAGTGACTTTTCAAAGTTTAGATAGTAAGCAGGAAAGGTAGGCTTAGATCCCAGTTGTTTTTTTACCCCAAAGTCCAGGATATTTTTAAGTGTCAGAGCAGAGTTATGCTACATGCGCATCTGGACTGGCGGATTCAGGAGGAGCTGTCAGCCTGTCCATTCATTTGGTAACTGACCTCTTGGCCAGGGCTGGGGCTGGGAAACTGCTGGACTGGCAATTCACAGGTACTTGGGCATTCACATCCATGAGGGACACCTCAGAGGGGGACAGTAAATTGGTTTTTATCTGATAATACCTGGTGGTAAACAGGCCCCTGATCCCTGCTATTGCATAAACTTGCCTTTGTTGACATAAGCTTGCCCTTCACCTGCCTGCTCTTTCAGTCGCCCTGGGGTCCAGGCTGGCTGAGCTCTGCCCCAACCCAGTGTCTGATGGTGGGATGTTTGGGGGGCCCTGTGGGAAGAAGGTGGTAGACAGCTGGAAGGAACCAGAGACACCCTTTCACCTCCTGTTCTAGTAGGAAGACCTCACCTGAGCAAAGCACTGCCTGGTAAGGGGGTCTATTTTCCCACTAACCAGTGTCTTACTGTCTCACCTGCAGGTGCCATGTCGGAGCCATCCCGAAATGCCCGTCCAATCCCCCAGGGCAGCAAGGCCTGTCGTCGCCTCTTCGGCCCAGTGGACAGTGAGCAGCTGCGCCGAGACTGCGATGCACTAATGGCCAGCTGTGTGCAGGAGGCCTGTGAGCGATGGAACTTCGACTTTGTCACTGAGACACCGCTGGAGGGCAACTTTGCCTGGGAGCGTGTGTGGGGTCTGGGCCTGCCCAAGGTCTACTTGCCCTCGGGGCCCCGGGGGACCCGAGACGACGTGGGAGGAGGCAGGCGGCCTAGCAGCTCACCTGTCCTGCTGCAGGGGACAGCTCAGGAGGACCATGTGGACCTGTCACTGTCCTGTACCCTCTTGCCTCGCTCCCCTGAGCAGCCTGAGGGGTCCCCAGGTGGGCCTGGTATCTCTCAGGGCCGGAAACGGCGGCAGACCAGCATGACAGGTAAGGACAGATGCAAGAATGTCACTGACACTGCAAGGGACCAAGACCTAGGATTCATGGTGCAAGGGCTGACCTGTCTGGTGCTGCTTGCTCATTACAAGGGGGAAACAGGCACAGAGAGGGAAGCCACTTGCCTGAGGTCACACAGCAAGTCTGTAACCAAGACCAACTAGCTAACATTTATTGGGAACATTTATTAAATGCCAGGTCCTTCGCTAAGTTTCTAAGGGGGATTTCATTTAGTCCTTATAGCAATCCTATACCATATGACATTCTTGCCATCCTTTTATAGGCAAGGAAACAAGATTCAGAGAGGTAGAGTGGTTTTCCTAAAGTTGCACAGTGAATTTGCAAAGGAAAGAAAACTAAGATATAATTTACTAGCTGCTCTATACAAGCTTAACTCCTCTTCCCCATCACACACACCTACTTCCAGTCCTGCCCTGCCTATTTTGTTCGCTTTAGTACTTTTTACCATTAGCAGCTACTTTCTTATCTTGTTATTGTCCATCTCCCCCACTAGGATATTATCTCCATGAGAAAGGGATCTCTATCTCTCTTGTTCATTGCTGACTCCCTAGCACCTATAACAGTGTCTGGCATATAGTAGGGCTTGATAAATTATAAATGAGTAATGCTGACATTTGAGCAATTATTAGGCCAAGCCCTAGACCAAAGCCTTTCTAGAGAGCATTCCATTTAATCCTTAGAGGACCATACCAGTGTTATCCTCATTTTACAGGTAAGGAAACAGAGGCTCAAAGAGCTGTAGCCAAGAGTCCCACAGCAAATTCGTAGCTGAATCAGAACTAACAATAAGGGTAATAATAATAATAATAGCTAATGTTTATATGGCCCAAGCATTGTGCAGGCACACTTTTCATGGATGATCTAATGATATCCTTAGAGCAGTGCTGTCCAATAGAACTCTGCAGTGATGCAAATATCCAGTGCTACTAACCACGTAGAGCTTTGATTATTTGACATGTGACTAGTGTGACTGAGAAAGTGAATTTTTCGTTTTACTTAGTTAATTTAAATAACCGCATAGGACTGGTGGCACATTGGGTAGCCTGGCTTAGAGCTGGCTCAGGAACATAAGTCCCGTTATCAGTGACTTCTGTGAAGTGTGGTGATGTCCTGTAAACACCCTGGGAAATGGGGCAGAAGTTGCCAGAGTTCTTCCCAGTATTTGACAATGTGTCCCTTTGGCCCTAGGGAGGGGTCCCTGGTTCCTCTGCAGTTTGCCTTGATTTAGTAATTGTGCCTTCTTCCTCCTGGCCTGTCTGACTTCTGTTCTCTCTCCTCAGATTTCTATCACTCCAAACGCCGCCTGATCTTCTCCAAGAAGAAGCCCTAACCCGCGCACTGGAAGCCTCACACTCCTGTAAACGTGGACCTGCCGCCCCTTGCAGGCTCCTTCTACATCTTTTGCCTTAGTCTTTTAGTTTGTGTGTCTTAATTATTATGTGTGTTTTAATTTAAATTCCTCATGTACATAGCCTGCTTGCCTCCCACCCCTGCCAGCTGCTGGCATTAGAATTATTTAAAGAAAACATTAGAGGAATGATAGGCTTATTAGATTGCCAGATATTTTTATTATGCAAACTATTATTTAAAAATTTCTCATCCTATGCTCTGTTTCCTGTCTCCTGGAGGTAAAGTGGGGCTGGCATGACCCCCACCTGCTAGGTGGTGCTCACCGGAGGGGCCTGGCTCCCTCTGTTCACTGTCACACTGACATTATGAAATTCTGCCCCTTTCCTTCATTCTCAGACCTGAATTCCTTAAAATTTGAGAAGAAATAGCACTTTGAAGGGGGCCAAGCAGAGTGGGGGCATCATCCAAACCTTGGAGTCCTTTTGCCTCCTCTAAGGCTGAGCATGGTGACCTTGAAGTGGGCATAGCCTGGAATAGGGCTGGGGACTGGCACCTTCCTGGCCCTTGATACCCCACTCTGTCTTGTGAAGGCCTGGGGAAGGTAGGGTCCCGTAGCAAACCACCTTGCCTCCCCTCACTCCCCTCTGCTGCCCACGGTGGGGCCAGCACAGTGTATGGCCTCCACCCTGTTGGCTTCCCTGGGACTTTTCTAGGAGCTCCAGATGCCCCACTTTTCTAGCTGGGCTCTCAAGTCCTCCTCTGTTTCTTTCCTCTCCCCTATGTCTTTTCCCTCTAGACTCCTCTCAGCCCTGGTGGCAGCTCTGGGGTGCTTGTCCCCACCAACTCAGTGGATGGGAAGGGGAAGGGGTATGCTAGAAGTAGAGTTCCCCAGTTCTACCTCAGGCAACTCGAGCAGTGACTTTCTTCTCCTCTCAGCGCTTGGGGTAGAAATCTTGGGTGGTCAGACAGGCCTCCTTGAGTGGGGATCTCTGCATTAGAAGTATGTGGGTAGTGGGGGTGGGGAGCGACGTTTTCTAGGAGGGAGAGAGTGTGACAGCAGCCCCTGGGACTCCTCCAAGGACTTTCCCCATCTGCCCCACCCCTCCCCCATTTCATTGCACTTTGAATAGCAGCTGAACAAGGAGTCGGATGTTTTAAGATGGTGGGAGTAGAGGCAGTGGATCGAGCATGTCAAATGGGCCACTACAGGCCTGGGAGTTGTGGGCTGTCTTTCCTGGCACTGAACATTGAACCCCGGGAGGCACCAAAGCACTTAGTGGTTCTAACCCCAAACATCTTCCAGCTTCTGTAACTTCCTGGCCTGGACTGTTATCTCCTGGCTCTCCATGTGTCCTCATTTGCCTGTCTCCACCTAGATTGTACACCTTTCAAGGGCAGGGACCAAGTTCTGTATTGCTCTGTGTCCTTTGTAGCCCCTCCCACAATGCTGGGTATACAGCAGGTGCTCAATAAATATTTCTGGTGACTTTACTTGTGAATATGCCTTGTTATCTTTAAGAACATGTAGGTGGAAGGTTTTTCAGTTGTTTTTATAGTTTTAAAAGTTAAGCATTTAAGTTTTAAAAATGCAGGAAGCTTAGCAAACAGAAGGACCATGAGACAAAAAATAAAAACCAAACCGAACCAAATCAATAAATCATCACACCTCTGCAAAGATCACCACTGTCAATATTTTGGTTTCTTGTGTGCTCTTTTTAAGTAAAGAACACGTTGTAGCTTGACACCATTACTTATCAGAGAAATGCAAATTAAAACCACAGTAAGATACCACTATACACCTACCAGAATGACTAAGATGAAAAAGACTGACAATGCGAAGTGTTAATGAAGATGAGGAGCATCTGGAACTCTTATGCCTTGCAGGTAGAAACAAAATACTTCAACTATTTCGAAAAACTGGCAATATCTTCTAAAGATACCTCCCCTCATTCCTACATGACCCAGCAATTCTATTCCTACGTTTGTTCTCAAGAGAAATGAGTAAAGATTTTCACTAAAAGACATATTCATAGCAACATTATTTGTAACAGACCCAAACTGGAAACAATGTGATTAACAAAAGTGTGTGTGTGTGTGTGTGTGTGTGTGTGTGTATACAAAAGTATATATATGTCAATTATGTATATATAGTGGAATAGTATACAACATTAAAAAGAACAAAGTACTGTTACATGCATGTTCTGATTATCTTTTTATAATTAATCCCCCCAAGACTTAGTGGCTCAAAACGATAATCATTTATTTGCTCCCAATTCTGCATTTTGGCCAAGAACTACTTTTTAAGTGCTGACTCATTCTCTGCTGTACAGGGCATGGCTCTGCTCTAAAACCTTAGAGGTCTAAGGTGAGGATGTCCCATTGGGGCTTTCCAGAGACTTCACACTATTACTTACCACCTATGGATATTTCTAGCACCACGGGATATGCTGGGTCATACTTCCCAAGTGCTTGTCCCATAGCGTGGACCCATCACAGAGCCCTCTTTTGCTCTGGCCTCCACTCAAACATGGCAGCTTCTTAAGTCATCCAATAAATGGGCTGGAGCATTAGCATGCTGCCTCCAAAATCCAAACTGGCCCACACAGTGCTATGCCTCTTTTCAGTGGTAAGATGTTCACAGTATAATAACTTGTCCTTTCCCATAGGAGGAATGTCCTAGCATGCTCCAGGTTACTGACCACTTAAAATCTAACTGACATGATAGCTTCCTTTCCTGATGTGGATTTAGAAAGAATGCATTGGCCATATTACTAGCTTCTTGCAGTCAGAGGCTGCATAGACTCTTCTAGTAAAGCTATCGTATGGGACATAATGACCAGTTAGAGCTACTATGTGAGTAACCATCAATGGCCTTGCTTTGTTTGGTTATTACAGGAGCAGTATGGGGTAGATTGAAGGGAGATACGATGGGGCCATCTTGCATCCTTTGAGAGCACGACTAATCTCTGTAATTCCACCTGGGATGTGTGGTGTTGCTTCTGATTTACTATCTTGACTATGGAATGATTTTAGAGACTTGCATTTGGTTCTTCTTTGCATAATGACTCTTATTTCATAGATTGGGAAACCAGTTCTGCCAGCTGCTAAGTGTATCCATCCCAAATTGCACTCAAGGGCTAGGAAATAACCACAGAGTGGGTCCACACCCATTAGACTCTGAGACGAACCTGGGCGGGACTCTATATGTCCCCTACTCTAAAAGAAGGGTATAATGGTATTTTGGGTCACTTGGAACCAGTGTAAGCCCAGACTCCATCCAGTAGGCCTCAAGAGATCAGGTTATTTCCTTTCCACACTGTACAGCTATTCTGGTAAATAGCCAGAGGGCACCTTGCGGGGAGGAATTGAAGAGATATTTATTTTATGTACTCACAGGGGCATTATGGGTCTTTCTCTTCAATCAGTGCGTCTGGGTCTGAGAACTGGTTCAAACCTGGAAACTGGGTGACAGGCTGCCACTTTCTATCAAAGCAGCTGGTATCAACCTCTGCTCACCCACCTTTGATCTTTTGTGGTTAAGTCAGTCATATCCTCATTAAATGCCCATCTCTCTTACCCCTGGGGACACCATTGCCACAGGGCCCTGCAGATCAGAGGCCTCTGGTAACCATTCAGGCCTTGTGCCCACCTTGCCTCTGAGGATTCAGTGGCCCTGTGTGGCCTCTGCTTCTGCAGAACCTTTGTGTCTCCATTGACAGTGCCCATGGCAACATCTCTTCAGCCAGCACTGAGTTCCTCTTGCTAGTGCATTCTTTATTGTTTCAAGAAGGGAGGGTCTTCTGGGCCCTCCTGGGGAAGACAGTCAGCTGGTGGGTTCTCATGTAGCAAGTCCATTTTATTTCATCCACCTCTGAATAAAGCCTGAATCAAGAGAGAGGCCTCCTTAAAAACTCTTTATCCAGCTCTGTATTCCTCCTCTCCCCAGCCCCAGTCCCACACCCTTGATATCTCCTCCTGTATGTGTTTCCTATTTCCTACCAATACATTTCAGCCAGAACTGTTGCGTTTTTGCAAGTTATTTCATCTAGTAGCAGGCACTGTACTTTCCTGATTGGGCAATGCTGAGACCCAACCCTAATTACTGGTCTGGAAAAGGGGCAGGTAAACCTCAGCTCAGAGGGCCAGTTGCCTGTTTTTGTATAAAGTTTTACTAGAACGCAGGTATGTCCATTTGCTTACCTATTATCTATGGCTGTTTTTGCACTCTTAATTTAAGTAGTACAAAAGCAGAATTGAGCCACAGAGGTCACATGGCTCATTAGCTGAAAATATTTACTCTCCTGTTCTTGAAGAAAATGTTTGCTGACTCTGGTCTAGAGGCAGTGAGGGGAAGTGGGGTGGAAATCGAGGAATATAAGCATTGTCTTGTGAGGCATCTGGATGAATCTTTTGTGTGGACTGCAGATACTGAGAGAGTGTTCTGCTCCAGCAAGGGAGGGGGCACTTCTGCAGGCCAGGAAGGCTTGGGGGAAGCTGGGGGTCCAAGGTCCTCAAGTGCATCCACCCAAATGTCTCCATTCCAGGCTTCAGTGCCTTACCCTTTCCCTGTCCATTGGCGCTGTGCATCCAGTCTCTCTTGTATCTCCGCCACCTTTGTTATCAAATCCTGGGACTTCTTATCAGCACAGCCCACCCTTGGACCACAGGAGATGAAGGTGGTTTAGAAAGCTCTTATGGAGTCCTGTATTCCACAGCATGCCCTGGATTAAGCCTGTCATTCTCTTTTTTCAAGGCTTCTAGAGTAGCTGACAAAAGCCAGTCAGCTCCACTAGGACCTATCTCCTTCTGTTCTTCTCTGTGGTCTTTGATGTAACTTAGGTTTTCCCAGTCATGTGTAAAGTGTGCTATATATCCCCATAATTAGCACCGTCCGAGTCTTTGACTTACTAAGTCAGTTTTGCCCTGGACTTCCACCTGCCCCTCATCCCAACCCCCCTCACACAGCTGTGTCTCAGTCATTGTGTTGCCACAGCCTACCACGAGATACCACCACCCTACTACTACTGGCAGGTCATCTCACTGGCAAGGATCCATTTTCAGAAGCCCATCTGCCATTTCTAGTCCCAACTGTCTTAGATTCCCACCCCACACCCCAAACAACCTGTGTAAAGATGGTTTACTTGGGAGGTGGTCCCTGGAAGCACAAGTTGGAGAGTGGAGAATATGAGGAAGGAAAGAAAAAAGCCAGTAAAGGTGTTGGTGAGTAAGTTCTGCTGTATGTAACTGGGACCTAAACTTGCTCAGGATGTCTGAAGAGACCACGTGGAACGTACCCTAGAATTGTCCCTCTGGGCTACCTGTCTGGGTACCTCTGGGGTACTTAACTACTGACGCCATCCATTGATGATTGAGGGCCACTTCCAGGAACAAGTTTGGGTTATTTTTCACAGGCAAAGTAAGATCCTGTGATGCCAGAGAAAACCAGAAGGATGTAAGCATTTGAGGTGACATGCTATATCCCTGACAGGTGAACACAGATATGGGCCTTGGGGACATGGGTAGGGCATCCACAGTGGCTGCTATAACCACCCTTAAGCCAGCCTAGTGCCCAGGTCAGCATGTTGGCAAAAATCACTGTGATTTTACCCTCCCTCACCCAGCTCACAAAAATGGGAGCTCCATGAGCGTAGGTATTTGTCTGTTTTGTTTGGTGCTATATCTCAGCACCTAGAAAGTACCTGGCATATAGTAGGTGGTCAATAAATATTTGTTGAATGATTCACTGTGGCTTGCATTTCTTTCCTGACTTGAGCACTTGTCTCCCAAACCCCACCCCTGTCCCAACCTTCCACTTTACCCACCTCACCCCAGCACCCCAGTCACTGTTCCTTATCATTTGACAATTGGTCTGGCACATGACCAAGGCCATCTGTAAATTGGCTGGATCACAACAGCTAACATTGATGATCATCTGCCTAACGTGGTTCCAAATATTTTATATGGTTTATAGTATTGAATCTTGCAACATACCTACAAGGTGGGCGCTATTATCTTCTGTTTTACAGAAGAAACTCGGGCAATAAGTCCTTAAATCACTTGCCTGAGGTCATGCCCCTAGGAAGGAGTGGGGAGCTAGGATATCCACCTTGATGACCCAGGTCATACTACCTTCTCGATAAACCAGAAAGAGGAAGTGCCTCGCTCAGGGCCACTGCCCCCTTGAAGAAGAGGATTGCTGGGGACCTATCTCCTTCTGTTCTTCTCTGTGGTCTTTGATGTAACTTAGGTTTTCCCAGTCATGTGTAAAGTGTGCTATATAAATGCAAGTTCAAAACTAACTCCCTGGCCCTGGTTTCCCCTGACATTGCCAGTCCTACCAACCTCCTAGACTAAGCTTGGAGTTGGCAGCTGGAGGCAGGTCTCCTAGTTTGAACTATAGCTCTCACCACTGCACTCCAGAGCAGAGAGCATTTTGCTTCAGGGTTTACTAAACTGCGCAGTGAATTCAATCATCTTTTAGGGGAATCGAA